AACTTGTCAACATGCATTCAGTCTGTAATAATCTATTAATTGGGCTGGGGATGTGGCTCAAGCGGTAGCACGCTCGCCTGGCATGCGTGTGGCCTGTGTTCGATCCTCAGCACCACATACAAACAAAGATGTTGTGTCTGCCGAAAACTAAAAAATAATAAATATTAAAAAATTCTCTCTATCTCTCTCTTTCTCTCACCTCTCTCTTTAAAAAAATATAATCTATTAATTTATTCAAACATCAACCACTTGGTATTATTAATATTGAGTATCAACTAGACAAATGAATTTTAGTCTAGTAACATCTTTGAAATAGTGGGAAATCAATATAATTAACCAGCTATTTGTGTTCAATGTTTTGTTGTTAAATTCATTTTAAATTTATGTAGCTCCCTTTCTAGGATGTCTGATAAAGCATCCTTACTATATCATGAAGCCTCTGTGCTTGTGTTGGTGATAACAGATTATCAATAAATATTTTTGAAAAAATTATCAGTTTGCATCTGGATGTCAGCACATAGTGAATTATTTTTCTTATTTATAGATTCCTTTAATATGAAGAATTGAAAATGTCCATATGCCTTCTAAATAAAAATATGTCGAATATGTCTTCACTGGGAGTGTCAGGAAGACATGTATTTGACAATGTGCAGATGGAGAGTTCCACTGGAACGGGAAGTCAAACTGATTAAGATGATTAACTTGAAAAGTCAGCACTGTTTCCAAATTTTGTTCAGAAATACAAATAATTTATGTATACTCATCTGTCTCATTTTTTAAAAATATGAAACATTATTTAGAATATTCTCTAATTATGCTCATTTAAAAATCATCTGATCTATTGTAGTTAATGCCTGGGTGTTCTTTCAAAGCCAAAACCCACTGGGCAAAGATTTACTCAGTCATTGTTTGCCTTTTTCTCTGTCTAATATGCTTCATTAGTGTGTTTTATAAATTGACATTAATTTTCTTGATTCTAAAATCTTTATCTATCTTTAAACCCATCAAGGAGGCATGTGGCTGGTACAATCCTTAGGGTCCCATATATTATGGATACTAACAATAATCCATGTCTTTCAATGATACTCTGCCAAGGATATTAAGTTAAGTTTCTATCAAAAGACATATTCCATTTTGTTAATTAGAATACATTCTGAGATGACTATCTCAGAATTAAATCTCAAAGCCCTAGAAATAGAAACAAAAGAAACAGTTAAAAAAATTGACCAAAGGAATTTTGGTGCTTTGAAAAAAATAAATAAAATTGATAAACCGTTAGTCACACTAACAAAAAGAAGGAGAGAGAAAACTCAAATTTCTGAAATTCATGATGTAAAAGGAAATATCATGATGGACACTACTGAAATACAGAAGATAATTAGAAACTATTTTGAAAATTTATATTCCAATAAAATAAAAAAGCTCAAAGACATTGACAAATTTTTAGAAACATTTGATCTACCTAGACTGAATTAGGAGGACATACACAATTTAAACAGATCAATTTCAAGCAAGATGCAATCAAAGCCTGCCAACCAAGAAAACCCTGAGACCAGAAGAATTCTCAACCGAATTCTACAAGACTTTAAAATAAGAAATAATATCAATACTCCTCATATTATTTCATGAAATATAAAAGGAGGGAACTCTTTCAAACTCATTCTATGAGACTTGCATCACCTTGATACCAAAACCAGACAAAGACATGTCAAGGAAAGAAAACTTCAGAACAATATATCTGATGAACATAGATGCAAAAATTCTCAGTAAAATTCTGGCAAGTCACATACAAGAACATATCAAAAAGATCATGCACCACGATCAAGTGGGGTTCAACCAGGGATGCAAGGTGGGTTCAACCCAGGGATGCAAGTTTGGTTCAACATATAGAAATCAACAAATGTAATACATCACATCAATAGACATAAAGACAAGAATCATATGATTATCTCAATAGGTGCTGAAAAAGCACTTGACAAAATACAGCACCTCTTCATGTTCAAAACACTAGAAAAACTAGGAATAGTAGGAACATTCTTCAACATTGTAAAATCTATCTACGCTAATCCCAAGGCCAGCATCATTCTAAATAGAGAAAAAATAGAAGCATTCCCTCTAAAAACTGGAACAAAACAGGGTTACCCTCTTTTACCACTTCGATTCAACATGTTCCTTGAAACTCTAGCCAGAGCAATCCAGCAAAAGAAATTAAAGGGATTCATATAGGAGAAGAAGACTCAAAACTATCACTATTTGAGATGACATAATTCTGTATTTTGAAGATCCAAAAAATTTCACCAGAAAACTTCTAGATTTAATAAATGAATTCAGCAAAGTAGTAGGATATAAAATCAATACTCATAAATCAGAAGCATTTCTATACATCAGTGATGAATCCACTGAAAGAGAAATTAAGGAAAGTACCCCATTCAAAATAGCCTCAAAAAAGTTAAAATACTTGGGAATCAATCTAACAAAAGAGGTGAAAGACCTCTACAAGAAAAACTACAGAACAGTAAAGAAAGAAATTGAAGAAGACCTTAGGAAATAGAAAGATCTCCATGCTCCTGGTTAGGCAGAATTAATATTATCAAAATGGCCACACTATCAGAAGTGCTATACAGATTTAATTGTATTACTAATTAAAATTCCAATGACATTCTTCAAAGGAC